GGGACAATGGCAGGGCCCGAGAGGGGCTCGGAGAAACGCCTGCGGGTTGCAAAACAGACAAGCAAACAGAGCTGTGTTTTATTTTTTATTGCTTTTACCTTTTGTCTTTCCAAGTTTCAAACACGCTCCAGTGTTGCGGTGAGAGAGAGAAAACCGCAGGTGAGCTGCTCTTTTTTGCCACCGCCGTTTCCAACCAAGACGTGCAGACACGCCCGGTTTCGTCCAGTCCTCTCTTTAGCAGACGCGGTTCAGAAACTGGAGAGTTATTTGGCCGAAGCTGGCTCTGCCTGAAGCGTTCCCCCAGCGAGCCATGCCTGGAGCGCGGTGGCCCAAAGAACAAAGCAGGGAGCAGGTTTTGCTGGTCATTTCACCACAACCCGCCCCAAACCAGACGAACCCCCCGCCCATTTCATGGCTCTCACAGGGTCCTGGTGATCTGTACAGGGCGAGTCTTTCCCTGCAGCCCAATGCTGGACCCATGCCCATGTCCAGCGTCGAGTCCCACTGATTTCAAGAGCCTTGCTCACAGTGCATAGAGGTAAAAACATACGTGTCTGCAGTATTGGGGCATGACCACAAGAACTTTCTTTCACATGGAGAGACTAGGACAAGAGCAGACTATGCAGGAGAGATCAAGTGCTGACAAAAGATCCACGCTTTGAACCAGGGAAGATTATTTTGACATTAGGGTGCTTAAGAGTTCAATTACTCAAAAGACCAGCATCTGGACTGCAGCAAGGCTGACTAGCCAGATTATACCAGGCAGCAGAAGAGATCCTTGGACTTGTGTTGTATGGTTGGGAAAACAAGGACAAAAAAAAGATGATTAGGGATCGGTTTCTTTATTCCCAGTTCCTTATTCCTGGTTCCTATAAGGAACCAAGCTGAGCCTCATTTTTTAGGGCCCAGAAGCAGAAGAGTTTATTAGCTCATTCTGAAGAATGGTGCAATGGAAAAACAAAGATTGGTGATGAGCTCTCTTCCTGGGAAGTGTGTGCTGAAGATAGGGTTGAAGGAAAGATGAAGTTGATAAAAAGTTATGATAGTGGGGAATAAGATGAAGCCCTGTCTGAGGGAGACAGCACTTCTGGATCGCTGCACATTTGGATCTAAGCAGAGTGAAGCAGCTGTGCAATACTGGTGCCTGCCTGCTTCTCAAATGCACATACCTGAGCAACTGAAATGGTTGCAATGCCGCAAACGAGATTCTCCCCAACATTTTAATATAAGGGGAATACGTTTGGATTTCAGTTCAATGGAAAATACTTCTTTCAGAAACACAGGTTTCAAAAACAAGATGGCAGACCTGGGCAGAGTAGTGGGGAGGTTCAAAAATCAAAGGATCCACTTCTGCAAGGGTCACATTTACTAGGGTTATTCTGAAGTCATTCTCACAAACTGAAAGTGCTTTGGAAATAATATCTGGACTATGTCATTCACTGAAGCATTTTCCTATTGGGTTGTCAGGGTCATGGGACTGTTGCTCATTCAGAGAATGCTGCATTCGCTAAGAGTTGGGTAATATGTCACAAGTCACAGGATACAGAAAGTATGCCTAATTATGTGACATATGTATAATACCAGGGATTGCTCTCTGTGGCATATCACTTCCTCTCCATCCCTAAAAAGAAGGCGTATGTTGCTCTCAAAGACATAAGACTCAACATTATCTAATTTCCTATTATTACTAGAAATTATTTAAGCTACGAAGTTCAGGTCCAAACTCAGGTCTTCATCACCCTACAAGTACAAGAAGGATGGGGTCTGTCGATCTAGTTCAAATTCCCCTTATAAAGGTGAGTGGGAATTTGTAAGTTTGGAACTAGTATGAATCCCACTCCAAACTTCTCCAGCGATCGTAGAAGGAAGAAATTTAGTGTTTTAGGAGGTTTTGATCCAGCCCATGCCCATTTCCAGCAAACTAGAGAGAAGCTCCTGTCTTATTCCACCTGAACATGGCACATCCCCACCATACAGTTTATATTAACTAACAAAAGTAGCTTCCACTGACTAGATGAGCAATGGAATTGGTGCCCGTCTTACACTGGAGCGCTTCCATTGAAGGCACTGGAGTTCCACTGCTATAAAAGCTGGTGAAAGTCAGCCTTCTTTACTTCATTCGGGCCACTTGCATGAATCAGGGCTGCTAGACTGGACTCACAAAAATGATTGACACACAGCTATTTGATCAAGCATAATTTAAAAGCAGCTGCAAGAAAGAATACGTCTTTGTTACAGGTAGATTGCAATCTCCCCAGTTCATCCTCTACAGGAAGCTCTGTTTTGTTTGGCATTTGTGCATTATTAGCTTGATGAGAAATACCTAGTATTTAAGAGATTTCCAGGTCCATTCATTGTTGTATATGTAGTAATACGTTTCCTATTCAAGGAACCTGTTCTCCACAAATGTGAAGTTTGAGCTGTAAGCTTTAATCTTCTCGTGTCACAGGTATGGTTCCCTTGGCAAACTGGACTATTTGTAGAGATTATGGAAGTGCATTTAGTAGAAGGGTCAGGATGGGAACAGAGCCCAGGCACTATGAGCTTAAACATGTTTTCTTCATGTTCCGTTTCTTGTAGCCAGAAAATAGCCCTACCTACACTAGTAGCAAAGGGCTTGATCCTGCAGGGCAGGGTCCGTGGAAGCCGACAAGAACAGGAGTTCTTGTCATGCTGAGTGCCAAGCAGTATCAGATGCCCAGCAAACCAAGCCAATAAAGCACTTTTGCCCTTTGTGATTCTCTAGGTTCTAACTCAACAGGACATGTTTCCTCCTCCACATAAATGATTATGTATCTGAGTCAACGGTCTGTGAAACTTTGGATGTGATAGATGTATGTGAGTATGTGATGAGCCTAGGATTCACAATGTCAGCATTAGATTGATTAATACTAATGCCTTTTACAGCGCCTTTTAGTTAAGGCACTCAAAGCACTTAACAAACGCACAGCTCCCCCATGGACCATGATGGGCAAAACTGCGTGTATCTGCATGCGCATTTACTGCACAGTAAGCGGTTATTAGACCAGCGTCTACACGTGTAGGCATTACAGTGCAGTAACACTGTGTGCGCACCAACTGGGGAATAAGTTACTTCCAAGTCCGTCCACATAAAGAGGGTTACTGCGCAGTAAAGCATCTACATGTGCCTTATTGCACAATAACTATTCGAGAGTAAATTTGCTATCTGCATCATGCAGGTAGCAAATTTACTCCTGAGCCGACGTAAGTCGCTATAGTTACTGCGCAGTACAGGTGCACATGTGTAGATGAGTGCCTGTACAGTGCAGTAACCTTGGGTTACCTAAGTGAACATGTAGACGTGTGCCTGTACTGTGCAGTAATCTTGGGTTACCTAAGTGCACATGTAGACGTGTGCCTGTACTGTGTAGTAATCTTGGGTTACCTAAGTGCATGTGTAGACGCACCCACTGAGGCACAACCTGAAGTGACTTGCCCATACATCACACACTGAGTCAGAGGCAGATTCAAGAACAGAACCCAAGAGTATTGATTCTTAGTTCTTTGCTCAAGCCATGAGACTACCCATATCCTGAGAGAGGATTAATTACTACATTTACACACTATGCACATGTGTTTGCTCCTTCAAATAAGCTGCCCTTTTTATTGCAAGGCAACTGTGCATCAGCTTTGTACAGGTAATAAACTATTGAAGACAAGGCACTTCAGTTTTACTGTGAGGTGAACTTGTTGAGGTCAACCCTATACCCCTTTGGGATTGACCTCACTTACTTTACCTTACAATAAAATGGAAATGCCTTTTCTGCACTGTTTTTACCAGAGGAGAAGTGACGCACATTAGTTACCCTGAGGTAAAAAACGTGGCCTTTTCTGCAGTGAAGACAAGGCACGTGTCACCTGTCTGCAGTCTTCCCTGTTACCCTTGGGGCTTTTGTTGAATGTGTATGATCAGTTATTATTATTTTTTGTGTTTCATTAATGCAGGAGATTCCAATAAGACCCAGGTC